TTTTCCAAACCTGTTTTGATATTGTCTTTTTGGCAAGATCGTATTCAAGGTGCATTTGCACAGCATGTGGATGGGCAGGTGTGCATTTTTTAAGGTCCTGCCCACATCAGTGCCATTTTCCTTGCTTCTTGCCTTATCCACCCTGTGCACACCATCTCACTCCCACAACGCCACAAGGCTTTGGGTGGTGCTTTATAAAAATCACTGATTGCTATAGGATTACAATGATCTGTTGCTGTGATCTACTGTGTGACCCTTTCTTACATGTCCAGGGAAATGCTGATCGCCACTTTGGGGTCAGGAAGCAATTTCCCCTCAGGCCAGTTTGGCTGGAGATCCTGGAGGTCTTTTGTCATCTTCTGGGCGTGGAACAGCAGTCACTGGGGGTGGGGGTGGGGAGTTATTTGTGAATTTCCTGCATTGTGCAGGGGGTTGGACTAGATGACCCTGGAGGTCCCTTCCAACTCTGTGATTCTGGATTCCTTGTTTTCATTTTTTAAAAAGTCAGTCCCTAGCTGCCTTAGCTGCAGACACACACCTTTCTTGTTGTATCTCTGCAATGCAAAGAGTTAGAGACATCTTTTTTTAAAAAAAGAGAGAGAGCTGGGAATTCAGAGGAATTAGTAGACTATGGCAGTGGCACTTATAATGTTTAATAGCACAATAGCAATTACTGATTTTTTAAAATCTTCCTAATGGTGCAACTAGGGGAAATACAGGGAAAATAGTGGCTAATGGAAGAAAATGCTCAGAAAACTTCCCTGTGGATGCTCTGTTGCCAGTGCAAGTGCCTCTGCATTCACAGCAGTAATGACAGGGAAACACAGTAAAAGGGGTACAGGAACTGGTCAACTCATCTAAGCACTGGGGAGAGTGACGAACTGCACCCTGTTTTGCTAATTTAGTTAAAGAATGTACCTCTGTTAGGCCAAAAATGCCCACATACAGTATGTGGTGGCGCAAGGTGAAAGAACTGCCAATAACAGCCTTATCATACAAAAGGGGCTCTTTTCATTCCAGCTGCCCAAAATCTTTTTCAGGCAAAGGCAGTCGCACAAATGCTCTATGGCACTTTAGTTGGCCCCTCTTCTTCCAGTTTTGCTTCTCTTGAGAGGGTTCAAACCAAATTCCTTAGAGCTATCCTTCAGGTCCCGAGATGTGTCCCGAATGCATTAATAAGATTAGAAACTGGTACCTTGAAGATGGAAGCCAAAATTACTTTGGCCTCGCTCCATTATTGGCTTAAAATGAATGTTCAACCTGAGGGATTAATCCATTTGTTACTGTCGGATAACTTTCAATCTAAATGGTTGAAATCAGTGCACAATAAATTACAATTACTTGGATTCTCCCCTCAGGTGATTCTAGATATGAGCTGGGATCAGGCTAAACTAGCTCTCAAACAGAGAATAATGGATATAGAGAGACAAGTGGATCTTTTTTTTAAAAAAAGTATTTTTATTGATTTTCAACACTTTACCAAGGTACGGTAACATCATACATATGAACATATAAACAACCCCCACCACCCCTCACCACCCCCCACCAATTCTGCTACTATCTCTATATTGCACATAACTTTACAACACAATTTAGTTCTCAAACTCCATACTTTCCCTTCTATACCATTACCAAAATTACCAAAATACAACCTGCAGTTACACACATCCAATATTGAGAACTTTTCAATTTCCCTCTTTCTCCTCTTCCTAAACCTTCTTCATGTTAACTCCCTTAGAGAAGGTTATTCAGTTATATTTCTTTTAGTTTCAACTTGTCATTAAACTCGTTAATTCTTAGTATTCTATGGCTAGACTATTTTTATCTTTCCATCCTTTCATTTTCAAAGACCCTCCTTATTTCTTTACATCATTTCACTTTTTAAGAGCCCAGATATAGTTATCAATGCCCAAAAATATATCATAAAGAATAATATATCAAAATAACTTCACATTCAACCACACTCAAATTACTTCATTTGGTGCCTCTGGCCCCTCTGTATATCTCTTTGTCTTATACGCAGACTTATTCCTCGGTTCATTTTCTAAATATCATACTAAAATCAACAAGACCCATAAATCAATGCATATTAAAGCTATATATTCCATTCCCCCAAATTCTTCTATAACATCTTAAAAGCAATACAAGACACCCCAAAATATTTCCATGAGCATTTTGTAAGAGCACAAGTATAATTATCCATACCCAGAAATATATCATAAACATTAATATATCAAAATCACAGTCAATCACACTCAAATTACTTCATTTGGTGCATCTGGTCACCCTATATATCTCTTTGTCTTATACGTAGGGCCACAATTCATTTTCTAAATATCATACTTAAATCGACAGGACCCATAAATCAATGCATATTAAAACTGAATATTTCATTCCCCCAAATTCTTGTATAACATCTTAAAAGCAGTACAAGACAACCCAAAATATTTCCCTAAGCATTTTATCTTATTCATTTCATTCACATAGATACAGAGCTTTTATAATTTAGCCTTCAGACTGTTACATTGCTTACAAACAAAACAGATATAATCAAACATATATATAGTCCATATAATTTCATTTGATTTCTATAATTCTTTAGCTTTTTGTCTCGTAGCAGCTTATCTACATGTTGTTTTTCCAGTCTATCTATATATTGGTTTTCTTTACACCATTGGCCCTTCCCTCGAATTTTCACTCTTTTCTGGATTTTTGCCAAAAAGTCCCAACTCTCCTTCCTTTTATCTTTTTTATTCCTTGTCTCACATCGACCTTGTCCATCTTTCCTCTTTTTGTCCTTTTTAACAAATAGAAGTCTATATCTCCTTCCCTTTCTTCTTGTCTTTCCTTGTCTCTTTCTACCTCTTAGTTTCTTCCCCTTTTGACTTGAAGCTTGGGAACATGGTGATTCTATGTCCTCTTTATCTTCCTGCAGTTCTCCAGCCTCTTCCACGTTCCTTTTAGGGGATTCTTGATTTTCAATTTCAATTACTTGAGTAGGGGTTTCATAAAAGCTTACAAATGCTTTTCCTATTGCTTTTTGTAATCCCTCTTTTAACGTCCTAGATAGCTCTTCTTTCATAATCTTCATAAACTGTTCTACAGATATGTCCATCACAAACAAACTTTTCTCCGATGTCTCTTCCGTCCCTTTCTCCCCCATAGCCGCCATTTCTTAAAAGAAAACGTCCTTCAGCTTTTAAGGGTTACTACTTACAGTCAAGCCTCTTATGAAGCTGGGGGACAAAGAGCACTCTACATATATAAAGTTTTACTTTCTCAGGGGAATGACAGAAATTGACCCAAATACTCCAAAACAGGAATAAAGTACTCAGCCTCTCTTTGTCTGGCCGCCTCCTTCATCCTCCTTTTGCTGACCATTTTCGGGGCAACATTTCCTCAAGGATGTGTGCACTGTTAAATCTTAAAGGTTTCTTCATTTCTTGTAATCCAATGTAGCGGATAAGATAAAAACAGGACGGAGGCTGCAGCTACGGGGAACATGGCGGCCATGTTCCCCTCCACTCATCCGCGTCTGCTTCGAGGCAGGCAGTGGTCACCTCTCCGCTGTGCCAAAAACGGGAAGGGCCACCACAAAGCCTCTTGCCCCAGACCTCTCTCCGGGAGGTCTGGTGGGGCTACCCGGGAGCCGGGAAAGCCCCAAAGAACGCAAAAGGGAATCGGGCGTCGGGAGCTCGAAAAACTCCCCGCCCGTCGCCGCACCGCACCGCCGGAAGTCGAGAGACAAGTGGATCTTGATAGATACCCTAAATTCAGAGTGCCTAATCAAATTAGATATCGTTCAGTCCCGAAGGCATATCTAACACACCTTGATATAAATAAATATAGGAAAGCCTTCACACTAGCTAGATGTGAGGCTCTTCCCTCTGCGGTACTCAAGGGCAGATACAGAAGAGTTCCCCTTGTACAGAGACTTTGTAAATGTGAGTCTGGGGAGATAGAAACTATTGAACACATGATGTTTAGATGTAAGTGGTACAGTGAGGTTCAAGATAGATTGATTCAACCTCTTATTGAAGAGATGCCTGGGCTGACAGACTTGGATCATTGTAATAAACTGTTATGAAAACCACTCTCTTACTAAGATTGTGGCTAAATTTTGGGTGGCATGCCGTTGCGTTAAAGAAGTACGGCTTAACTTGTAAAACTGCAAATCTCTCCTTTTTAGTGTGTTTTTAGTGAATCTGTTATGTGTATTCTATATTTTTATATTGTATATTTTGCAATATTTTATTTTGGTGCCCCTTGCTGAAGTGTTTGGATTGCTCTGGCTGGATGCTGTAATAAAATTTCATTCATACCTCTGTTATGCCCAGAATGCTGTTATATCTGTGAAATATTTTTCCCCTTTGACTGTAGCTGTCAGCCAGCCCCAGCCAAGCAAAACTTTTCTGTTCTTCTCTTTTCTGTGGTGTCTGTGCAGCCCACAAATGAGTGTTATGCCTGTCCAGAATCCATGCATGTGACTGCACAGATGACTATACACAGTCTCCTTAGAGCCCAAGAGTGATGCAATTTTGTGTTGTCTCTACTTGTGGCCTCTGCCCCAGTACAGAATAAAAGCCCTTCTAGGTCTTAATAGCTCGAGCAACCAGTTCTGATGGTGCACAGATCAGAGTCTGGCTTCCTCGCTGTCTCATTCCTGGATTGTGGCTACAGTGCTAACTGATGTAACTTCTTTGACAGTAGAAGGAATTCATGTGAATCACTGGAATGATCGCATGGCAGGAAGAAGAAAGATGATTTACAGCCTGATCCTTTTCCTTTTAGTCAAAAGTTACTGAGGAAATACCAGAGTCATAGCATCCATTTCCAAATAATTTGTATGTATTTTATTTTCTGTTTAGTGCCAGGCTGTTGACATGTTCAATAAATCTTTTTGTAGTTTGCAGTATATTCAGATGGAATCCGGGCAGCTTCTATAGGTTCCGTGCTTGAAGTATTCTTTGCAATGTAACCTGCTTTCTGTCTTCCTTCAGGCTCGGTCCTTCAGAAAGAATGTTCCTGTTAAAGCTTTTCCTGCCTTTCTTTACACAGTAAGTGGAACTCCGCATTTTTTTTAGCCCACAGAAAATAACTGGGATCACAATGATAGGATTGGATGGATGTTGCCTGGCACCAAAATGTGACTAAAAGTGATATCAGGTGATCCAGAGTACATCCTCTCTCCAGTAGCCTCCTGCCTCTGGTAGTCAGGGTACATAAAGAAGATGATCTTAACTGATGGGCAGATTAATGCATGGAAATTACAATATTCTCAGTGTCTGATACAGGGACCTCTATGAAATTCAGGGCTTGTATCTTTAGCCATAAATATGAATTTGATCCCTTTTTGTTGCTTCTCTTTTTGATAGTGCAACATCTTCTGAGTGGTATATTTCATACCGTGATAATTCATTCCTATCTTTGTAAAGTGGCCTTTTGCTGTGTAGCTGACTTTGTTTATCTCTCTTTTTTATTCCAGGTTGCTCTTGAGGATTATTTAAATAAAATACAGAAAGCTGATTTCAATATATTTCATCCAAGCTTGCACCGGAAGAGTCCTTTATTACCTCTGCAGTTGTATATTAGGTCCTGGAAGAAAACATATTAAAGAGTCTTTAATCTGAGACTGACCTCTGAGGTTTTTCTCCCTGCTTCCTTTCCTTTCTGATTGTATTTTATTTACATTATTATTATCATGATCCCATCTTTTATCTGAAGGGCTTAGGGCAGCATACATTGCATGGAAGAACAACATGAACAGCCTTTGCAGACACATCTAATGCTCTACACCTAGCTGTAATGTCCCATGAGGGAAGAGTAATCTGAATTAAGACTGGCCTTCCTATTTGTGTGAACTGCATAAACTACAGTGGATATTCCCATTTATTGTACGAATCACATAAAACGTTATCCTGACAACAACAACAACAATAAGTCAATTCAAACCAGTCAATCCTAAAAGAAATCAACCCTGACTGTTCCCTGGAAGGCCAGATAATGAAACTGAAGCTCAAATACTTTGGCCACCAAATGAGAAGGGAGCACTCACTGGAGAAGACCCTGATGCTGGGAAAGATTGAAGGTCAAAGAAGACGGGGACGGCAAATATGTCATCTTTCTGTGTTTATACCTCTGAGGATGCCAGTCACAGTTACTGGCGAAACGTCAGGTTCTACAATGCCAAGACCATGGCCACACATCACAGAAAATCTACAACAACAACAACAACAACAACAACAACAACAACAACAACAACAACAACAACAACAACAACAACAACAACAACAACAACTAATAATAATAATAATAATAATACTTTCAATTTATTGATCGCTTTTTCCCACTCATGTGGGCTCAGAGTGATTTACAGATAAATAATAATCATTAAAAAGCAATTCCACACACCTCCTCTCTTATAATGGAAAGCAACTGAGGAGTAGCTGTCTCAGTGTGTCTGACCTGTGTCGTGTGAATGCAGTTGAGGATTTCTGCAGTGACTTCTGATGGGACTGTAATGTTCAAGAGGGATATACTTCTGTTCAAGGTACCATTTACTGGAATATTTAAGTAAAGTAATTAATTGTCTTCCCCCAAATTGAAACTGGTTATACTAGAAGCTGCTTGATTGACTTCAGAACTCCCCTGGCTTGTATTGGAGTGGGAGATGCATCAGTTGCCAGGCTAGGAATAAATAATTTTCTCTTGTAGCAAAGTTAACTTCATTCGTACTAGTTTCCCAAGCTACTGAGGCCATGGATTTCGGCTGGAGCTGTTAAGAGGGGAAATGGCTATAGGAGCTTCTCCAAAATGGTCAGTGAAACATATCTCAAGATGAGGCGCACGTTATCTTAAATCTTTAAAGTACAGTCTGTCTTGATACCTGTTCTGTTTTTCTGCATCTTCTATTTTGCGGCCATTCTGTTTTGCCGAATGAAGTTCTTCATGTAATTTTTTCCCCTCCTCCTTTTAATCAGGATTAATCTTCCCAGATGCTTTGTTGTGTAACAACATCCTGTGCTTTTAGTGCACGCTGTGCTCTGTAATGAATTTGCGTAAGAGGAAGATACTCTTGCTTTTTTCAATCAGAGGGTCTGTTGCTCTGAAGGAAAGTTTGAAAATCCAGAAATAATCACTTTAATTCGAAAGGCCTTTGCCAAGCTGTGCTTCAGGAATTAATGTTTTAGATGGAGGATATGGATGTCTAGTGAACAGCAGAGTTCAGTTTCTGATAACTGCAGGAATTCCTTTGTCCCTATTCTCTGTAGTTTTAAATGCAGAAATTAAATCCAGCACCCAGAATACAGAAAAACATCCTCATATGGTGGTTGGTGAATTATAGGTAATTTCACCCTTCAGTCCTTTGTACCAAGAAAGTAAAGTGTATATCTATCATGCTTTGCATGTTTCCCCTTTGCCTTAAGTAAAAGGGCCTCTCTTGCTTATATACTCCAAGGACATCAAAAGCTGTTAGTTCCCACTAAGATTTCTTCTCCCCCTGCATGGCTTCTGCGGGGAATTTAAGAATCATATAACCAAGCGTGCACCCCTGGGCACTGTTGGCACTTGTTAAGAACATAAGAGAAACCAATGTTGGATCGGGCCAATGGCCCATCTAGTCCAACACTCTGTCACAAAGTGGCCAAAAATCCCAGGTGCCATTAGGAGGTCCAGCAGTGGGGCCAAGACACTAGAAGCCCTCCCACTGTTGCCCCCCCAAGTACCAAGAATACAGAGCATCACTTGCCCCAGCCCGAGAGTTCCTATCGATACCTTGTGGCTAATAGCCACTGATGGACTTCTGCTTCATATGCTTATCCAATTCCCTCTTGAAGCCGTCCATGCTTGTAGCCGCCACCACCTCCTGCGGCAGTGAATTCCATGTGTTAATCACTCTTTGGGTGAAGAAGTACTTCCTTTTATCTGTTCTAACCCGACTGCTCAGAATTTCATTGAGTGACCATGAGTTCTTGTATTGTGCGAAAAGGAGAAAATTACCTCTTTCTCCCATGCATTACCTCCCATGCATAATCTTATAAATTTCGATCATGTCACCCCTCAGCCGTCGTTTCTCCAAGCTAAAGAGCCCCAAGCGTTTTAACCTTTCTTCATAGGGAAAGTTCTGTTCTTCCACCTTATTAAGATACTAATATTTATAATTTAGTGCAATTTTCTGTTGCCTCTTCAGAGAGAATACACAGGCTGTTGCTCAGAACTGAAGGTTAGAGGTCTGAGAAGAGCCTCCTTGCTTAACCAGGTATCGTTCCTCCTGCACTCTAGCCTTTGATTATGCCAGCAAACCATTGGCTTGAGTTGAGAGTGCTTAACCTGTAGATAATTGTGCAAATGACCAAAGTAGCTCCAATGAGCTATTTCCAAGTACACTACCAGTTTTAGAAAGTGTATTGTCCATATTCACTCACCTTGGCAGGGATGGTTGTGTACAGTGGAGAAACCATTTTGGCAGCCACGGCATTAGAAGTCTTTCTTTTTGCATCACTGTTTCCTGCTGATCAGATTCAAACAGAAAAACTGCTTGTGGTAAGGCAGAAATCAATCTTGCTTCCTTTTTTGAAGAACAAGATCATAAACATTTAATGTCTTCTATAATCTTTGAAAATTGGTCAAGATATAACCTTAAGGATTTCTTCAGGTTCTTTTCTAAAATTCTAGTAGCTGTTTCAGCTAAATCTGGAAAGGAGTTGCATGTAGATCTAAAACATTTCTGTAACCAAAAATCTCCTATGTAAGATTAAAACTGAATTGCAAATATGCCACATACATGAGGGTACTGATTCAATTATGAGGGACAGCAAAGATGTAGAGAGATCTTCTCTGTCATGTGGGATGCAGCTGTTTCAGACCCAGCATCTGACTTTAATGCCAAAGTGGAATCCTATTTTTCCCCCCTTTTATGGCAATTTTGCTTTCTTTTATCTCTTAATCACATGGCTGGGATGGGGAGTGTAACGTATGTTGGACCTAAAACATCCAGGACTTGAAAACACACTTTGGCATGAGTCATAAGCACATAAGAGAAGCCAGTGTTGGATCAGGCCAATGGCCCATCCAGTCCAACACTCTGTCACACAGTGGCCAAAAATACCAGGTGCCATCAGGAGGTCCAGCAGGTCCAGTCAGAATGTTCCTTTTGCATAGATACACCTTTCCCTTTTTCATATTGAATAACTTGCACCAGTATGGTTCCTTTCCAATGCTATAATGCTTTAAAATGATGAACAACAAAAACTATAGTTTGATCCCAAGACACTTGACAAGTAACATAAACTTTATTAATTTTTAAGGAAAACATTTAAAGACATTTAAAATTAATAACCCCTAATGCTTCTGAGACTGGGGTATTTTTCCTCTCCCAAAAATGTGGTGATGTAAATATTTTTAGGTTGTCAGGAAGGGCTATATCTCTCCAGAGCATTTAAAAATGGTTCCCCACTTCAGAATTTTCTTAATGAACTCTTTTTCTATGCCATTATGTTCCACAGGCTGGGGTGAAAAATCTGTCTGAATGACAAAATGCATAGATTTTCGAGGTGAATTTTCCTGGGATATGTTTTTGTTTACAAAAGGTAAACTAAGTGGCAACTGGCTGTACTTTGGAGACATTGTCACCTGTACAGCAGTAAACAATGTTGTAAAAGGGAAAGGTTCTAGAGCCACTTTCCTCTGTATTCTGCCAAAAAAGGACAACTGGGCTGTGAAAATACCAGGCTAGTGGTGATGGTGAATGGAAGTTTTACTATTTGCAATGTTAATTGGATTACAAACCGTGTTAGCTTGGATTATCAATTAAGTACTGATAAAAAACAATGTTTTTTTATATCACATTTTAAAATGTTTAAATCAGATCTTATGTAAATATATATAAGATGCTTTTAAATTAAGTTATGTCAATCCAAGATATCATAGAATGAGGATTCTGACTTTTAATTATATACTATGAGAATCTGCTCATGTAACTTTAAGAAAAGTTTTACAAATATTTTACAACTGGCCATGGACTATGTTAGGGGCTCAATCTATGGGCTTCCCAAGAGGCTATTGGATTTCAGAAAGGAAAATCTGGCGTAAGCACTTCAGCAAACCCCATTTGGGAATATTTTGGAATGCACATTGATGTGACCAGAACTGTACATTTATGGTTTTTTTTGAAATTCAACATTTCATAAGTGAGTTTTGTTAAAATTATACCTATTTGACAAAAAAATACCCAGAATACGTAAGAGCATAGTTCTGCTTAATTAAAGCAGTATGTCTGTCTGGTGGATGAGGTCCACCCAAACCTGTTGAATTACAGATGGGTTGGCTTTGAGCATATGAAGCAGCGTTATCCCGAATCAGACTCCTGGTCCATCAAGGTCAGAATTGTCTACTCAGACTGGCAGCGGCTCTGCAGGGTCTCGGAGGTCTTTCACATCACTTACTGCCTGATCCTTTTAATTGAAGATGCTGGGGATTGGAAGTGGGCCTTTCTGAATACCAAGCAGGTGCTCTACCGATCAGCCACTACCCCTCTCAGTGACCTCACAGGTACCTGTGTTAATTGCGTGTTGCATGTGTGTGTAAAGTGATGTCAAGTTGCAGCGGACTTATAGTGACCCCACAAGGGGCTTTCAAGGTACGTGGAGGTGGCTGGCCACTGCCTTCCTCTGCAGCGTCTTCCTTGGTGGTCTCCCTTCCAAGTACCGGCCCTGCTTAGCTTCTGAGATCTGATGAGATTGGGCTATACCATGCCACCTTCCTTCCCCCTGTGTTAATTAACTTGGGTAAATAAAATAACCAAATAATTGCAGGATTTAAAAAAAATATTACTGCAGAAGTAATTGAAAAAAGTTCAAAATACTGTTTCAAAATGTATATTTTATATCTTCAAAAATAAACCCTATGTGTGTGTGA